AACAAGAACAAACATTATCTTCGTGCGGACAGCATTGCACCCATAATTCAGATCGAATGCGATTCCGGACCCGATAGTGTCAATTTGGCACAGATGAAGAGGCGGATACACGGCAAACCTCTTTAGGGCAGGCTCCGGAGCACGGCGGCCTCTTCGGTCGCCACTACCGCGGGCGCGGATTGGCGAGCCGACATCGACAGGTCATAACCGGATCGCGCTCCCTCGGGCCGGCACCTGCTGCAGCGTCCGCCGAATGTGCCGGCCCCTCTGCAAGCGCCTCGTCCGCTCTTCCGGCCTCGCCGGGCGCCGCCGCTGCAGAGGCCCCGCTGCAGGCGCCGCCGCCCGTCGGGCGGAGGGCGGCCACTGGCGGCGGCAAGGCAGACCGGCGCTGGGGCTGCTTCCGGGACGGTCTCCCGCCGCTACGAGGATATGGACGCTGCCTCTTCTAGGGGCGTGTTCGTCTCGATGCTTGCATGACGTCACTGAGCACTGCCAGTCGCAAAAGCAGCCGGACCCATACCTGCTGACTTGCGGACGGACTAGCTCGATAACTGCGATAATGAAGCTCGTCTACAGCATTGCGCCGGTAGCCGAGCCCGTGAGCTCCGCGTCAAGCCTTTGATCAACCGACTGCAGACGAACTGGTGGCGTAATGACGCTGTCGCGAGGGCCGGCTGGTGACGCTGCTGGACCGCGCGAGCAGGCTCGCTCGGCAAGCTGCTGACAGTGAGCGGCCGCTAGACCCCAGTCTAGTCTGTCGCCGGGCGACTGAGAGCGCAGACTGGTGCCAGACCAAGCCGTCCGTCAGTCTGCGCGCCTCCGTCCGGACCGCCAACTAATGTACATCCCTTGTCGCCAACCTGAGCGGCACCAGCGCTGAGGTCGTACGCTTCCATTACGTATTCTAATTTTATTAATTAATGCGTGTCGTCGGTGCGCAGACTAGCGGCGCACGGCGACGGCGGAGTGCGGGGCGGGGGGCGGGGGCGGCCGGGAGGGGGCCGTAAGGACGCCTTCTCGCCTCCGACCTGCCCGACCGCGGGGCGGGGGGCGGCCGGGAAGGGGCCGTAAGGACGCCTTCTCGCCTCCGACCCGCCCGACCGCATCGGCCACCGTGGCTGAGGAAGGAAACCGCTCTCTGGCGGACCACCAGGAAGAAGAAACGGGAGTGCCGGAGGTAGAGTGGCGCAGAGATGGCAGACGGCGTGGAGACGTCGGCAGCGCGTATGGAAATGTAATGGCCGAGTGTATGATGGCCGCATTAACAGGGTAGTGATTTCGAGACGTTCATTCGAGAGCGCAGGCCGATTACACACTTAATTGTACGTTACGTATGGGCTTCCAGGAACGCATTTTTGGTCGACCGTGCCCATTATTCATTGTTATCAAGGACTATGCCAGTAATGAACACAACGTTCCTCCACACTTCAGCTCATGTAACGCAGGACTTCTCTCCAGACTGCCCATGCATCATGTCTCGTACACGTGTTGGGAGAAGACAATCTATGCGCAGGCAGCTGGTTCGACACCGACCTTAGCAGAACACCCTGCGATGTAAAGAATATAAGCTCCGCAGCCGGCAGCGGCCTGACCCCGCGAGGGGTGCGGCACGGCCGCTGCAGCAGGTGAGGTGCGCTCGAGTGGAGAGCACGAGCGAAGCGCGCCGGTCAGCGGGACTCCTCCAGCGGCGGGGCGCTGGCCGCAGCGGCGCCGCTATCGGCCGGCGCATCTCGGCCCGCGCCGGGTCCTCATCAGCGCTCTGACGTCAGCCGGGCCCGGGCCCGCCGCCGCCGGAAGAGGGGTGCAGACGCGCGGGGCCTGTGGAAGACCTTCTGCTGAGGTCAGCTGACCGGCAGAGCCCCTCCGGTATGAGATGCTCGTCGCGCGTGGAGACAGCGGTGATAGCGGTGATTGGCTGTATCAGAACTCAGGCGGGGCGAATCGGCCAGCACGCGACCACGCCACCCGCCGTCACGTGACCCCAACCACGTCGGCCGGGCGTCGTCACGTGGTGCGGCCCGTTAGCCGCGGCGGCGGCGGCACGCGCCAGAGGACGAGTGCCGACAGCGCGCGCCGGAGCCGACAGATCGCCAGCTCAGGCACGGCCAATGCGCCACACCAGGGCCGAGATGCATGGTGAATCGCGGCGGCGCAGGCTTGACGTCACGTCGTTATCGGTTCCAAGATAGCGCGCGCCGAGGACGAGGCCGATCATCGACACTAGTGTCCGTCCTGGGCGCTGAGCGAGACCAGTGCCTGTCCTGGGCGCTGGGCGACACCGGCGCTCGTCCTGGGCGCTGAGCGACACCGGCGCTCGTCCCGGGCGCTGAGCGACACCAGCGCTCGTCCTGAGCGCTGGAAGACACCAGTGCCCGTCCTGGGCGCTGAGCGACACCAGCGCTCGTCCTGAGCGCTGGAAGACACCAGTGCCCGTCCTGGGCGCTGAGCGACAGCAGCGTCCGTCCTCTGCACACACTGTTCACGCTCCCCGACACTGCATGGGTTGACGTGGCGGGCAAGCCCTCCGACTTCACAGCGACACAGTGGTCACCAGTCAATGGCATCTAACGAGCGGCCCCGAAAAACCAGGCGCCAGACCACCGCGCGGCCGCCCGTAAATAAATCACAGCGCGCGCAGCGCGGCGGCAGACCTGGGCCTCGGCGGACAATGGGTCGACCAGGTACGCCGGCCGATGGCACCCCTTCGCGCGCCCGAATCGGCACAACAGAACGCGCGGGGACGCGGACTGAGGCGGGGGGGGGGGGGGGGGGGGGGTGGAGGCCGGGAGGTGGGGACGGTGGCGAGGCGGGAAGACCGCGGGAACAGGCTGGTTTGAGAGCTGCTCTCGGGGTCTGTCGGCGGCGAGGGGAGGCGGAACGGGCGACGCGCAGGTGAGGCGGACCGCGCAGCCCGCGCTGCGCCCGTGTCGCGCTTTGTGGCGCGATGATGGACGCGGTGTCGGCGCGGGCGGCGCAGGCGGCGAGCGAAGCGCGTCCGCCGCGCGGCCGACGGCCCGTGTCATTGACTCGACCCTCATGGAGTGGCGAGGCCCGGTCGCTGCCCGCCGCCCGCCGCGGCAACCCCACATTCCCCGCCCGAAACGCAAACAAGCCGCTGCGCGCGGACGTGTTTGTATAAATTTTAGCGGCGCCCGAATAAAAGGTGGTGGTTGGGGCGGGTCGTCAGATGGACACCGTTGTGTTCCGCCGCTCAGCGTCGGGTCTGCCCCGCACCCATGGGCGGCGCCGGGGAGCGCTCTCGAGGGCCGGCCCGGCAGACTGCTGTGCTCTCTGGGCCAGTCCGGGGCCCTGGCCTCGGCCACCGACGGATGACGAACCGCGGTCACGTGGTCGAGCGGGGGCGTCGGACCACGCAGCGAGCGAAACGTCGGGCCGCGCAGCGAGCGAGACGTCGGGTCGCGCAGCGGGCGAGGCGTCGGCATGAGCGAGCGAATGCCGGCCCGGGTCACAGGGTCGGACGAGACCACCTCCTGGAATGATTGGCCAGCCGGCCAGGCCAGCGCTTACCATCGCAGTGCTCTCGCTAGACCCAAGAGAATACAACGGCTACGGCGCTGAGTCCACGGCCACGGGGCGCCGCGTACTGACAGCGACCCTCTGTGCCAACCGCGCCTGCTCCATTCTATCCCCGCCTCGCCCCGAGTGTCGGGAGGCTGGGGCATGTTTTCGCCCATGTCGTCGGCGCCGTAGACCAATCGCCCCAGTGCCTGTTTACCGGCCGGCCGGCCGACTGGCACAAGCCGAGTGCCAGGTAATGGCTGATAAGGAGATGCGGCGCGGCGACGGCGCCAGACGCGGCCGTGCGCGGGCTGCGGCGCCAGACGCGGCCCGGTCGCATCACCGCGCCCGGCGCCGCTCGTGGTCGCCATCTCTCTGCCGAGGATGGGTCGCATCACCGCGCTCGGCGCCGCTCGTGGTCGCCACCTCTCTGCCGAGGATGGGTCGCATCACCGCGCTCGGCGCCGCTCGTGGTCGCCATCTCTCTGCCGAGGATGGGTCGCATCACCGCGCTCGGCGCCGCTCGTGGTCGCCATCCCTCTGCCGAGGATGGGTCGCATCACCGCGCTCGGCGCCGCTCGCGGTCGCCATCTCTCTGCCGAGGATGGGTCGCATCACCGCGCTCGGCGCCGCTCGTGGTCGCCATCTCTCCGCCGAGGATGGGTCGCATCACCGCGCTCGGCGCCGCTCGCGGTCGCCATCTCTCTGTCGAGGATGGGTCGCATCACCGCGCTCGGCGCCGCTCGTGGTTGCCATCTCTCTGCCGAGGATTGGTCGCATCACCGCGCTCGGCGCCGCTCGCGGCCGCCACCTCTTCGCTGAGGATGGTCGGCAGCCTGGACTGCTCCAGGATATGAGCTGTGCATGAGCGGACTTTAATAACGGAACGCAGTCGTATCGCGTTAATGCCGTTCCGCTCGATTGGCTAATTGCGATACAGCTGTTTATTCTGCATGAGATCGAGAAGCAATCAGCAGCCCACAGTATCTCAACGGCCGAGAGCTAGATAAGAACTTGATTCGAGGAGCACAGGGAACCGGATGCAACTATCGCTCCGAACTTGTCAGAACCTGCATGTTAGCATAATATACATCACACTAGACAATACCATGTGTTTTCAGAAACGAGGGCACAAAGGATAGTTTTATTCTGCTGTCTTGTAGCCAAGTACGCCTTTTATTGAGCAGCAGTAGCTTGAACGTTAAGAATGATGAAGTAATGAAGTCCAGCCATGAAGACTGTCCTGAAGACCTGAAGAAGCTACAAAGCGAAACATATTGACTTTTTCGACCTTATTATCCATACAATTATGCATTATATCAAAGAGCGATATAGGTGACTACAACGCAAACCCTACGGAGGACTCGCGGCCAGCACTCGCTGAAGGATATACAATCCAACTATGATGGGATCTTCGCCTTGATAAATCGTATACCAAAGCGCCTACTGCCGTCCACGCCGCGGACAACACGAGGACTTACATGGGGTTCGACGTATTCCAATGGATGTAGTAGTTCTTGGTGGCGGACGCGCTCGCGCACAGGAACGTTACTCCGAGCAACGCCAGCAGCCAGTCCCAGATTCGGGCCATCACGGGCACCTGCTCCCGGCCAGTGGTCACACGCCGAGCGACGCTCCCGCCCTCCGGCCCATGTCACTCCTGACGCATCCACTGGCGGCGGCTCGGCGCGTCGACAGCACACGCACGGCGGACGCGTGCACTCGCGGCGCTCGCTCGGCCCGAACTGCGGCGCGGCGGCGGCCGGCGGCGGGCCGACGCGGCGGCCGTCGCCGGCAGGGGGCCGGGCGCGCTGGCAGCGCCCGCGGAGCAGACGTCACCTGTCTCGCCGCGGCGCCGACGTGAGTCAGGCCTGGTCGCCCGAAGGAGCGACCGGCGACGCGGGGGGGGGGGGGGGGTATTATGCTGAGGTCTTAAGTGTGGTTGCTCGGTAATGGTCACTGCGGCTGCGAACGCGAGATGGTGGAATTGCGGTAACGAATCAGCGTGTCATGAAGCCAACGCGAAATATCCGTACATCGTCTTGGACGAGGTCGAAGTGGGGGAAAATTGTGCAATCAAACCACTCTCCTATCCCCGAGCAGGGGATTATATGTGACTAAGTTCCAGCACGTGTTGACCGATGTGACTCAGCATTCCGCTCGCCAGAAAAAACGGCGCTGACTCCGGTGGCCAGTGACGAGGATGTGACGTACCCAGCTGACCTGCATTGCCCTGCCAACCAACCCCTCTCTGGCTCGTTGCCGAACCCGCAAACGTTCACAGCGCGGGAGCATGGGCGGGAAACACTGAACTCGACGATGCCTAGGGCAGTTACTCTCGGACCGCCGAGCATCACACCGGCAGTGCCCGACCCGGCTACATCCCGCGACCTGCCGCACACGGGCGACAGTCGGCGACATTGCAGCGACACTCGAGCGACACCTGGTCCAGCGCCTGGTCGCGCGGTGAAGCGGCCTGACGTGACGCAGCGCGTCGCCTTCCCGGAGTCGTCGCCGCATTATTACCATGATCGGTCGGCTCATGCGGTCCATGGCCGGCCGAACGACCCGGCAGCGGCCGCGGCCGGCGCGGCCGGTCCGGCCCCGCCACGGACTGGCGCCTCCGCGGTGTCCGCCGTGACAGCGGCTGACACCTCGACCGACCAGTCGCCCGGCTCAGCGGGTGAGCGGCCCGGCGGCCCCGGCGGAGAGCTGCAGCTCCGCACGTGACAGCGGCTGACACCTCGACCGACCAGTCGCCCGGCTCAGCGGGTGAGCGGCCCGGCGGCCCCGGCGGAGAGCTGCAGCTCCGCACGTGACAGCGGCTGACATCTCGACCGACCAGTCGCCCGGCTCAGCGGGTGAGCGGCCCGGCGGCCCCGGCGGAGAGCTGCAGCTCCGCACGTGACAGCGGCTGACACCTCGACCGACCAGTCGCCCGGCTCAGCGGGTGAGCGGCCCGGCGGCCCCGGCAGAGAGCTGCAGCTCCGCACAGGGCGGCTTTGTCGCTCCGGTGGAGTCAAGGGGCTGCGCACGTCTCAGGCGCGGCGGAAACAGCGGACACAGCACAGGCGCAGCTCAACCTATGGAAACATATAGTAAATTGTTCAATACATTAGCAAGGAGCATTATTCACGAAGACAAGACACTAGTATTAGTTTCATTTCTCGGATAAAAATCAGGATAGTGGAGATATAGTTGGAGTTGATGTTTTGCCAACATGTCTTTATCGAAACAATAGCAGAAGTGTGCGCTATTCTAGTGAATTATGCCACTGTTTCCATAAAGGCATGTTGCCGAAATATCAACCCAACTATATCTATATTCTCCTGGTATTTATCCGACAGATGAGGATAATACTATTGTCTTATCTATGGGAAAATATAGCATCAATCTTACGGCGTTGCGTGGAAAGAAATAAGATCCCTACCACCTCCCTCTCTGCTGGTAGGCTCTGCCGGCACCGGTCCATGATCGTCATTCTCAACTATAAAAGGTGCTCTGATGATCATTTGTTTCGGCGACAAGACAACCTGACTCACAACGAGCTGGAGACCAGGAACGCCAAGTATCGTTCACATCAGCAGACCTGCGCGCGCGCCGCACAGTGTCGCCACGTCCGCGTACGGCATGCCCGCTATGCGACGCAGCCGGGGCAACTTTTTCCTGCGACTCGTATGGAGAGGTCCTGCATGCCGGCATGTCACAGTGTCCAAAACCACATCGTTTCACACAAAACTTGGGATGGAAGGAATCCGGTCTTACTGTTGGAGTGACAGCTGCACCATAACATTGTTTCTACGCACGGTGTCTCTAGTGATGACATCATCGCATTTGCTCTGGACTCTGATAGGAATAATAAATAGCATAATTTGCGCTCGGCCTGATGGCAGTGCCTTCATCTTGCTCATCAGATTTCTAAAGGTTGGCACAAGTGTACGTAATGTAGAAAAACTGTCATCTTTTGCGGGGGTGGTACGCCGTTCAACCAAGAGGAATTTTGTCAAGAAGCAAGAAGCACTGAATTGCAGTGAAGCAAGATTGAAATCGATGACAAACGTGCTCACCTGAAAAGTTGACTTGGTAAAAAATGGTGGTGTAACCTTGGCAGCTTGGGCGGGGAGGGGCAGCAGGCGGGCAGCCGTCGCTCTCTAAATGGTCGTGGAAGTTTAGCATTAACCATGTACAATGCACGACAAGAATCGACTTCAAAGCGCCCTGGCCTTCTCTTTCCGAAACGCACGTCCTCCCGTGAATAAACGCACGCCACACCATAGCGACGTAGAGCCAACCTAAGCCAGCAGAACATCGCACGCGCACTTCGACGCCAACCTGCATGAGCAGAGCGCCGCATCTCACCAGAAGCGGCAGCCCAGCACCGCACCTCACCGGAAGCGGCAGCCGCCTCAGTGCCTTCTCCGAGTTCGAGTCCGCTCGGCCGTGGACTCAGCCCGGAGACGCTCTGTTTACCCGCACCGGCAGCTCGTGCTGACATCGGCTGAATGACGACCACTGTCGGCGGAGATGAACCGCTCAAAGGGCACCTGTCGCCCGTCGACAGCTGCCGTCTCTGTTTGGAGCGGCTGTCAGGCCAGCGATGGGCGCCGACATCCCCGAATACCAGTCTCCGGCTCATAGGACGTCGAGCCGCGGCGCACGGCCGACGGCGCGCCCTGCCGCGCACAGCTGATCCGCCCGCTCGCATAAATTTCCGCTATCTTGATATGTATGCAACAGCGGAACGTGCGTTTATCCCGATTTGAATGTTAGGCGGCGCGATTGCATCTGGTGGCGTTATTCGTGGATGGAGGGCCCTCGGGCGTTGGCACTGAGCCGTCATCGAGGCGGCCGATCACAGCAGACCTCTGACGGTTTGGTAGACGACGTGCAGGACGGGGCGGTTTTCGCCGACGCCTCGAGTGGCGTCTACATTAGGCACACAAGGCGCGGCCGGCGCGGCGCGGAAGCCGGCCGAACCCGCAGAATCATTATCAGGCCGGTGTTGTTATGCAAATTACCGCGTCAAATGATCTGAATGCATCGCTCAACCTGTAACTAAATCCTTCGGTCATGATGGCGGATGGGGATTATTATAAATCACTCCGATCAAAGTCCGCCGTGCCGTACGGCCGGTGAAGCATAACGCGGCGGTGATCAGGCCCGCTGGCGCAACGGACGGCCGACTTCATTATCGTCCGCTCCGCCCCAGACCGGGTCATGACCCGAGTCTGAGCCGCTCGGCCGCCGACCGGCACAGTCCGCGTCTGCGCTGTCCCGTCACCGGCAGGCTCATGACCCGAGCCTGTGTCGGTCTGCACCTGACCTCCGCATGATAAGAGATTCTTGGGACGTCACGCACAAGCGCACGCTTGTCTAGATCTTGGATGATTATCGTCTTTGGTTGGTCCTTGGTGGCGGTTAGTTTTGGTTCCAAAGCGAGCGAGTCAGTACGGTATAGCAATACGGCAAAGAATAATACGGTTTTAGCATACAGTCACACACTGTGCTCGCCAGCTTCCTAGGACGGTACTACACAGCGGGAGCTTCCGTGGCGCGCATCGATCGTACCGCCAATCAGCGGCGGCGACACTCGGCGCCAGCAGCGGTGTGCCTCGGTGCGCACCATTTGCCGCAGAAGGGTGACAACAAGCCTGCCCCGGACGCCCGTCGTATCCCTGCCCATCCCCAGCGCCGCTGGCGGTCGTCAGTCGGCAGTGGAGTTGCCGGAAACTTCTGCTGACCCGTCCCTTGCCCTGGCCAATCCAGCTGAAAGCCCGGAAGGTCGTTTGCCCTCGACAACGGTGATGTGGCAGAACCGATGGCCGACGGGAACCGAGCTCATTCGGGATATCTGCCGAGACGTGGGTGACTGTACGTGCGTGAACTTTTGCCCCATTAAGGCGAATCATGATCTGAAAGTTCTGAAAGCAAATTTGTAGGACATGGTTACCCCGATGGATGATCAGAATACCAAATATCCACAAATAATTCAGCGCACATGCACTTTTACACATATGCTAGTTTATTTCGCTCCTGTTTAAAATCCATTTGCCATTTGATTTATGGTACAAGAAACGGTGCATGACACTTTTTGCAAATATTTGTTTACACTTTTTACACTTTTACGTCTTTTAAGACGCCAATCTGATTACGTTGTCCAACTTCATCTTTGAGGAGTGAAGGCGTGCACGGGTTATACAGCTGAGGTAAGCTCCAGCAATAGAAACTGAGTTGCAAAACATCACCATGAAGCTGAAGCAAAACACACATCAGCAGATGGCAATAACTGTACATGGATCAAGCAAAACGATTACAGGAATGACTGGCAACTGGCTCGTAATCATGTCAAGATGTGCATCAATACTACCAGGGGCTGCATCAGTATGAACACCCGCTCCGTGTCCATACTAGGCAACATGCCAGGATTCAAAGCCCCTTTCTATTTTGGAAGACGGGAATGCAAAACACACTACGCAGATGTGGAAAGCCTTAAGTCCGGTACCGCACGGGAGACAACGCCACAAGTTTTCTGCTCAAAGTCAGCAGGGGATCACTGCCGCTGCTGCCTAATGGAGTCGATTGAGCGTTGCACCAATGACAGGTGCCCCTACTATGAAAACTGGTGTCAGAAATTAAAGTGTGGTCTAAGGTCCGCAGTGATAAGTCCGAAGCATAGTCGGCATTAATCGCATAAGCGTTTTATTCCCGCCAATCAAAATACTTCAGGGGCTTAT